TGGATGGATGGATGGATGGATGGATGGATGGATGGATGGATGGATGGATGGATGGATGGATGGATGGATTTATCCAAAGGGTTTTTTTCTGCTGCTTAAGCAGAGCACAACAAATACATAGTCAATCAATCTCCCAGAAGAAAAAGAATGCAGTAAAATACAAGAAACAATTTCAGTGCAATAACAACCAAACAATATGTAGGGTGTGAGACGCCTACATCTTCAATTCCTCGATCCCCAAATGTTCACATAAGCAGCCACATTTTTACACGCCTTCTGAATGACAGCAACCAGGATGCTGACCTTCTGAGACCATCTCTTCCCCTGGGGCTGAGTTCAGGAAGAGATGCCCACTTCTGAGTCCCCTCCCATGTACCTGGCAGGAAGTGGGGCTCCTGTATGCCTTGGGAGGCTGGGCAGATTCTGCCACCACCAGCACTTTCATTGCACCCAGAAACAAGCTGGCCTCCAGCGCAGCTCCTGTAATACTGGTGTTAGACAACAGCATTGGGATGTTCCTGTTAGTACATGGGCAGCTCCCAGTTGCACCAGCTGAAGTTTCTTGGTGGTCTTCAAGGGTTGTCCCAATACAGAATGAAGTCCAGTCAATGCACAAGGGCATAAGTGCTGCCAGTACTTCCCATTTCAGGAATGGCCCTGACTGGCACACCAGCCAAAGCTGCTGCTTGTTCCAGCAAGAGCAGCGGATCCAGGGGAGCCCACTGCTATGGACCCACTCCTTCAGGGAGGGCACAATATCTAGTGCTAATGTTGGCGCTCTCCCAGAATTGCTTGGCTTCTGAATTAGCTACTCTGTCTTGTCAAGGTTAAGTCCCAGTCAGTTCTCTGCCATCTAGATGCTTACAGCCTCCATTAAACTGGGGATAGAGATGGATAACATCTACATGTTGATGGTACTGTAACTCAAATGGTCAAGTAACATCTTCCAATGGTTTCATATTGATGTTAAATAAGATGAAGGAGAGGATTAAGCCCTCAGACGCCCCATACTGTAGCGCCCAAGGTCTCAACCTCTCATTCCTCCCCGACTGGAATTAACCACTCAGGAAGGATTGGAACCACCACAGAATGGTGGCTCCAGTTCCAACCCTCACAGGTGGTCCAGAAGTACAGTATCCTTGGCTATTGGGAGATCCATCTGGACAGGTAAGGTTGCACTCCCTTATGTAAGTCCTGATACAGGTAATTGATGAGCGTGACCAATGTGGTTTCCATCCCATGTCCTGAATGAATCCTGAAGGAAAACAATCCTGATCTACCTCTTCCAGATGCTTTGTTGCTGTTGCCCCAAAGGGGAAGGTTGGATCTTGGACAAGAGCTGTTAGGCACAATGAATCCAAGGTCAACCCCTTGAGGGGAGGTCATATTGGAGCCCCCTTCACACCGCCAGGATCTCTCCCTCCTGCAACAAGGCACTCGCCCAATGCCAGATCCCCATCTCTCATCCCCACACACCAGGTACAAGCCACCTAAGACATGGCTGGCCCACAGGTGGCAGACCTCACTACTTCCCCAGGGACAGCAGGCTCAAACTCTTCCTGGTTACCTTCAACAGATGTCATCCTGACTTGCTCCATTTATGGCCGGAGCTGGGGCCATCTCCTCTCCCCACTGCAGAGAGTGACCAACTTTACAAGGGGGAGGAAAGGGGGAGCTTGGCTCACTGTAATGAGCAGAAGGAAGAACCTTGAGGGACAGGAGGACGAGCCGCTACCAAGACCACGGTCAGAGAAAAGGAACCGGAGTCTGGAACAGAACCGCAACCCGAGGAAGCACCTCAAACAAGACCCTCCCCACTTCTCACGAAGATGAAGGGAGGGAGGGGGGAAGCACATTCAGAACTGCAAGTTTCTGTTACTATAACCTTAGAATAAAAGTCGTATTTGCATGTCCTTGGTTTCCAGGTTTGGTCTCCTCACAACCTGGTGATACTTTTCACACTTCTCTGCCACTTGGCCTGCTCCCAGCTGACGCAACTTGTGGCTTGCAGGGAGATTTCCTTCAAACTAGAGGCCTCTCTTGGAGGGCGGTGCTCGGAATCTGGCTCTGGACCCCCCTCCTGCCCCAGCTCGGAGAGAGGGCACCCCAACCCCCCCCTCTCCGCAGGCGTCGGGCCCAGCCGCCCCGACAGAGAAGACCCGCTGGCCGGCGACAGGCACCCTTCCTGGCTGCACCTGGAGGGAGGCGTGCAGCCGAGCGCCAGAAAGCTGCCAGGCTGGCTGGAGCCCCCGTGCACCATGCAGGGCTGTCCTCACCACCTCCCACAGAAGCCCCAGCACTCCCCTCCCTTTGCAGTGCCGGCAGCGGCTCCGAGCAGGGCAGGGCAGCGCGAGGGGCGCTGAAGGGCCGACTCATCCTTC